ATATTAAATTCAAATTAGAAATATAAGAAATTAAATCTTTATTAAATGCTAATGCTAACGCTAAAGTTAAATATAAATGTGAAATATATTGAATTCGAATTAGAAATATAAGAAATTAAATCTTTATTAAATGCTAACACTAACACCAAAGTTAAATATAAAATTTACTAAATTTGGAAATTGTATGGAATCTGAATTTGGAAGTTGCCGGAAATTAAAATATAATCTCAATGGTGATGTCAGCGACATTTTTTTATGGGCGATGCTAGGGTTGTTCTGGCGATATCGCCTAGTTATATAATAGTTCTAAATTTTATCATGAAATCTGACTTTATACTACTAACTAGTGGTGTGAGCGCAATGCCGTAATTGGTCGTATTAATTTTCACAAAAACTCAATTATATCGTGATCTAAATTGGAAGGTTTTGGCACCACTCGATTCGTCTCGATGAGACGAATCAAATGATACCAAAATCATCCAATTCGAATAACTGGATCACAAGGTATTCGCAAATAATAATTCAATGAATTACGGCAAACGTGCCGTAATTCTGTCGTAATCCATTAAGTAGTTTTCGAGAATATATCGCAATCCAGTGATTCAAATTGAATTGTTTGGGTACCATTCAATTCGTCACATCGAGATGAATCGGATGATACCAATTTGGATCATTGGATCATGACATAATTGAGTTTTTGTGAAAATTAATACGACCAATTACGGCATTGCGCTCACATCACTACTACTAACTAAAAATGCTTAGCACTCAATTTTACATATACACACTTTTTAATCCTAACATCCTAACCTTACAATAACCCTAACCCTAATAGGCGATATCGTCAGTAAATTAGTCTTATTTTTTTAAATAATGTCAAAATGTCTAAATTAAAAAAAATATAAACCTATTATTAGTAAGCATTCGAACTTGTTTATTATGTGAATTTCACGCTACCTAAAATAAATTTGATCCAAAAACGGTTACTTGCCCTATCAAGCAGGTTATATATATATATATATGCATATTTTCTGAGCTTTTTTTCACACAGTACTCACTACACTAAATGTTTATAATTTGGATCCGGATTACCATCAATTCAAAAATAAGTTACTTTTAATATATGGGTCTCTCTATCACTAATTTAGACGTTTAATCAATTTAGAATTTTGACATTTCGACAAAAATAATGTTATCTCAAAATATATTTCGACACAAAATTGCCCAATTGGAGGCTATGATTAACCTTAGATTAGGATTAAAGGGCTTAGATGTAAACTTGGGCTCTGAAAATTTCGATGTGTAGTTTTTCATAATAAACTTTTTTATCACTGTATAAACAGACAAGTTAAGTTACATTAGGCCATGCAAAGTTGATTTTTCGTTTTGCATAACTTGCCGACCCGTTTTTCAAAGCCTTTTAAAAAATTCCAATTGTGCCAATTATTCTATTTTTGCTGTTGTTTTTTATCATAAATTTATCCGGTATCACCCGATGGAGACCTTATTCCTTGGATTATCCAATAGGCGGTAGAAAAAAATTTTTTTCTAATAGATGACCCAATTTTTCTGATTCTATGTTATGCGAACCGAAAAATTTACTTTCGTGGCCTTATATGTGAACGTGAGTCTATTACTAAAAAAAAAAAAAAAAAAATTCGACCGGAATTTCAGAATTTTGGGACACCAGGTAATGCAAACGAAAATCTGACCTCACATTATACGAAAGCCACACACATATATTACCCTTACTATTACGTACTGTACATTTAGCACATAAAAGTAAACCAGTTTGTCAATTAGAATAGGGCATAAATCACACGTTGCCTTGGCTTGACAATTTAATAAACCATTTCATGTTTATTAATACAGTATTTGATCCTTATTTTACCTATGTTAATTTGGCCATGGATACAAAAAAATATTTCTAATCCAATCATGCCTAAATACCTGCAAACTTACAAAATGTCAATCACATGTATTACGTGATTCTCATTGCTTCATTAAGTTTGAGCAAAGATCTTTTTAAACTTAAATATACAAACGAAACTTGTGACCATATAAAATATGATTTCTGGATTTTTTTATTGTAATTGCATCTTTTAAATTTATGTTGGTCAAAAGGTATAATGTAAAAAATAAGACCTTCAATGGCATTCTTTTTATATAAATATGCATCGGGTCATGAAATTTTGAGATATATCCGCTGATTGATACATTAATAGAAGAATCTTTCCGGTGTTTTATATGGCTCTATCTCAGTTATAAAATCATTTGACATCTTTCCTTTTCAAATAGGCAATATGGCAGCTCACGAGTTATGCTTTGACCGGTCAAATAATTTAACAATTAGAGAAATTTTAGAATCTTGTGATCATTCGGGACATGCCCGGGCATTTTGTTAGTAAATTTTACAAAAGTTGAAAAATACTTTAATAAAGTTTTTAGTAGCATTCTAAACTTGTACAAAGAACCATATATTGAATGTTCTAAAAATATGTATTTAAAGTTTAAATTATAATTATAATTTTGTTTATAGATTAAATTTATCGATTTTTTGTAAACAAAAATTTAGATGCATCAATTAATCTAAACAATTGATGCAACATAAAATTCCTGTAAATAAAAACGTCCCTTGTTATCAAACTTGCTCATTAAAATCTTATTTTTTAGCCTTTTCTGCCTTAATTTTTTCCAAAAATTGAATAGCTTTAGGCTGATTTTTCAAAGCTGCCAATTTAATATATGACTCAGCTTTTACTTTATCAATTTCAACCCCAAGCTTTCCATTCCAGTAAATATCTCCCAAGTTAAAAAGTGCAGTAGAATTTTCTGAATTTGCTGCCATAGTCATATACTTCATTATTTCCGGTACATCCAGATTATTTTTATTTTCAAGAAGAGCAAATGCATATCGAAGTTGAGCATCAGGCACACCATTATCAGCTGCTTCTTTGAAAAGCTTAAGCGCAGCTGCATGATCCTTTTTTACACCTGTTCCATTCAATAAATAATATCCTTGCCAATATTTTGCCATATTATTTCCAAATGTTGCATTACTTTCAAAACATTTCCAAGCTTTTTCGTAATCCCTTGCTTTGTGTGCTTTAATGCCTTCTTCAAAAGGCATTAAAGGCTGTATAGTAATAGGTATTTCAAAATCTAAACAATCACAATCATCAGGTAATTCAAATTGTTTATTAGGTTGTTGAAGATCAGTGCTAATGCAAACTTGTTCTTGGAAATTGGTTGAAAGCTCTAAATCTGAGACGTCACTAGAATCAGCTTTTTTGGGTTGTATATGTGGGGAAATACCTACATGCAATTGAAAAAGCTCTTTAAGCTTCTGTTGCATTTCCATGTCCGAAGGACGCGATGAAGGTTCATCTTCCCAAGCTTGATAATTAAAAAAATTAATTTAGAATTTTAATGCATAGTTAAATAGATTATGAGAATAAAATATGTTTACCCCTTTTGATGAGTTTATAAAGCTCTTTTTGAATTGTTGATGGACAAAGAGAGGTTTCAAAAGCTTCTCGTTTTTTACCCAAAACATGATCTTGGATTTCACTTACTTCCATGCTGTCATAAGGAAACTTTTGATGACAAAGCTCCCAAAGCATCATTCCAAAACTATGCTCAAAACGCAACAAGTTAATAACTTTATATAAAAACGTTGTTAATGCTAAATATTTGTTGGATAATCATTACCTGTACATTTCACATTGATGATTATATCTTTGTGTACTTCCTTTTGGAGATTTCCGCATCTTTTCGGGTGCCAACCATCGAATAATATCAGCCAATATTTTAATTTCTGAAGATACTCCTGTTAAAGTGCGACTGAGTTCGAAATTTGAAATTTTAGGCTCAAATCCATCAGTGACCTAAAAAATAACCGATTAGTATTAACTATCAGTTTACGAAAGTTAAAAATTTTAATCGATTAATCAGTCAACTGAAACTATCAGTCACAAAATTGACTAAAAAATCAAATTAACAAACAAATAATCGATTAATCGACTAACAGATTAACAATTCTTGTATTTGAGTTATATACATACCAAGATATTCTCACAACGAACGTCATGATGATAAAGATTGCATTGATGCATAAATACTAAACCGTTAAATATATCACGTGCAAACCGTAGTTTTGTAGGCCAATCGATATTATATTCTAAATACAGTTCGCGTAGATTACTATACGCAGCCCAATCGTAAATCATAACTTCGCTATTATCCACATTCGAAACTCCATAAAAGTTGATAATGTACGGACAGACACCTAATTTGAGAATTATAGCTAATTCCATTTGCTGTTTTTTCAGAATTGCTCGATCGAGAGGTATATCATTGTCTTTAACCAATGTAACTTTTTTACATGCTACCTCCATTCCACGGAAAATTTTTTTACGAACAGCTTTATTGGTTCCACGAACGTTATCATTAGAAGAAAATGGTTCGTGTAATTCATTTGGATCTACCTTGGGAGCTTCGTATTCTTCGATCAATTTAGGTCCCATTTTATCCATGGGAATCACACCACCTTTGCTTTGTGCATCACTAATTTGTGTACCCAGATTATTTGCGCTTGTTAGCAACGTAGTAACTTCCGTTATTGCTAACCTAATTTCAGCCTTGATTTCATCCTTCATGTCGGTCATTGACTATAATACATATATTGAAATTTATTGCGGTTCATACATAAATAATTAGCAAAAAAAAAAAAAATAAATAAATAAATAAAAAGGATTTATATAAATAGATATAAATTATATAAAGTAATTCAAATTTACAATAACACCAATACCTTTTTCAAAATCTCAAGATCTTCTGCTACATTTTGTGCCTCTATTTCTCTTTGTTCAGCATTGTACATGGCCATAGTAAAGTTTAAATCACTACAAACTTCTTCAAATTCTTTAATATTTTTTTCAAAAGCACCTTTTACAGCATTAGCATTTATAAACTTTTGAAAATATGTCAATTGTGTAACTTCTTTAGCAAATTTTTTAATATTCTCCAAAACATTAACAAATCTAACCCAAGCATGATAATAATCTTGACTTCTAAATTTTTTTTCATTTGCCTGATATTTACGTTGCAATGATTTAACAGCAGTTTGTGCAATTTCAACACGATCTAATAAAGCGGCACATATTTTTTCATTACATTTTGCATTTTCATAAATATCTAATATTTGTTTAAGAACGTTCGCAACCGTGTTGAACAAGGGAAGGAATGGAGTAATTGCATCTCCTACAGTTTGAACGGCACCGAGTGTCTGACCAGTTATTTCGGATGCTCCTCCAGGCTTTTCATAATTTCCTCGTAAATTTGGATTATAATCATGGGGAGGTTTTTGTTGAGACATCACTAATTAAATCTAAGCGTTGAGTTATGTTAGTGGTAAAAAAAAAAAAAAAAAAAAAAAGAAGCTTTTTTCTTAAAAAAGTAGTGTGAATAACTCTAGGACGTACGTACGCATATACGATATACATGTTTATATTGCTTTTACAGCAAAAATGTTCTATATTTAGTTATGAAAGACATAATATAACCGGTTTTATCGATCTGCGAAGCTTGTGATCTATTTATTATTTGTTTGACAAAGCATTAACGCTAGTATATAACGGAATTTTAGAACCGATACACCAATGCATAGAAAGGTAACACATAGAAGCACAGAATTTCTTCAATAAGTTTTTTCTCAAAAAGTCGAAATATGCTGTCGTTTTATCAATTTGCGAAGAATGCTGCTGAAACTAAGAAATTTTAAATAAAAAATTTCTAATATAACTTGTATCCATTTAAGGAATAACTTATTTCGATGTACGTAACACTGTTATTTTCATTTCTCTTATTTGGTTAGAATTATACTTATTTCTATATTTAGTATCTCGTTTTACTTATTTAACTTGTGTATCAGCTTTAAAAAAAAAAGCCTGAAATCATATTTTATATGGTCACAAGTTTTGCTTGCACGTATATTTAAGCTTTGCTCAAAGTTAATGAAGCAGCGAGCATCACGTGGTACACGTGATTGACATTTTGTAACAGCAAAAGTTGCATTTTTGATAGATCTGTGGTTACTGATAGTAGTGATCGGGTTGGAGCAACCCACTGGTCACCGTGGGCCATCCACAAATTAATCTACAGTAAGTGTCTGATCCGGCCAAAAAAAATGTTATTACAGCTATTGTCAAATACTGGTACGTCGAATGGCAATGTAATAATTTATGTAAGCATTGTATTATTAGTATAGCTAACTAGAATATATACATAAATAGCTTTGTGATTCAAGCGCCTTTAATTTTAAATTGAATATCATATGTACTAAGTAGATTCATTATTAACTTTAGTTCGAAATTCTTAGACGATTCGAGTGAAGTTAAAATTTCGCTTCGAGTGTATTTAGAATCAACTTATGTTGATTCTAAATTTAAAAAGACTCCATTTCGATATACAACATATATATTTTATATCGATGGCGTTCATTTCATCGACAATCGATTCACCGACAAATTTATTTTACTGCAATTAGTTCATCGACAAGTTTATTTCACCGACATTTTATGTCATCGACACTCGTTTCTAGTGTTAGACACAATCAAACAAAAATTTGATAGTCAAATACTTGTGATTAAGTCGGACGTCAAATAATCGGATATTACATATATACGTGTATACATATCAGGGACACAGAATTTATGCGATGAGAATTTGTAAATTATGCGTGCGGTATGTGTAATATATGCGATTTGCTGACGATTAAAATTTAAAAGTGCGATTTAGTGTTTTTTGCAAATTAAATACTGCGCTCAACTAGCAAATTTTTTAATCGGAGAATAAATTAATACGTGATTTTTTAATCGGAGAATATAAATATGATGTAAATTTATGCGATTTAGTGCAATTTGGTTTAATCATACTAAATCACAATTTCCGTGTCCCTGATACATATGTACATATAGTATTGGTTAATCTGCGATTTTTGATGTCCGACTTAATCGCAAGTATTTGACTACCAAATTTTTGTTTGATTGTGCCGAGCAATACTCGTTTCACAGAGTCTAGAATTAAAGTTAAAGTTAGTGTGATTTATAAAAAAAGAACTTGTCGGTGAGCTAAATGTCATTAAAATAATTGTTGGTAAAATGATTGTTGAGATTATTTATATTACATGTTTTTGCAGATAAAATTTATTATTTTATATAATGTCGACATATTCAACCTTACTAAATTTTCATTTGAATACTTGCCTAATACCTTTGATAGTTTAATAGATCTTGACAAGAAGCGACCCTGGATGTTAACCTGGTCACTACTCGGGTGGCATTTTTTTAGGCGGGTCCAATCAAATTAGCATGCCACCGTGAGGGTAACGAAATACAAATAAAAAGAAAATAGGTATGTGCAGGACGTCTATGCTAGAGAATAATTTTCAAAGGGCTAAAACTTTACACAGTCAATATTTTAAAATTTGACTGGTAATTCTTGAGCTCTACAATGTTTTTTAAAATGTGTGCCGTCAAGGGAAAACCTACATGCTGGCTTTCAATTATATTTTGTGTATAAACTTTTGATCGTATTATCCTGACAACTACTACACTAAATTCGATGAGATTTTTTTACTCGAATTCTACATATCTGTAGAATTCGAATAAAAAAATTTTCATCGAATTTAGTGTAGTAGTTGTCAAGATAATACGATCAAAAGTTTATACACAAAATATAATTGAAAGCCAACATGTAGGTTTTCCCTTGACGGCACTCAAATAATACCTGTGTAAAAGATTCAGCATTTAAAGTTTATTATGTTTACTAGGAAAATAGGACCTATTTGAAGTCCGAAGGACTAAATATAAAGATTTTCTTTTTTCATGTTACACCTGATCTAGCCAATCAAAATTCATAATTGTTAACACACAGACATCGGTGTACTATTGCTCTACCTGTAGTGTCCTTCGGACAATAAAACTTAATCAATTTTAAAGCTATTAAACCTTTTTATACAAAAGGTTTTTCAAAAAAAAACGACCGGTAATTTTATAGAGCTTATATGGCTTTATAAAAATTATCGGACAGTTTTTGAAAATCTCTAGTATAAAGGGTTTTAAAAATTGAAGAAAATCACGTGGTTGTGTTTTACAGAGATCCTGTACCGTACGTATTGGCTGATTTTTACGATTTATGTAGATTGGACCTCAAAAATTGGTTTAATTCTAGTCAAATTTGCAGATCATATGGCCCTTGGGGATGAGTTTTAAAGCTCATCCCCAAGGGCCAAATGCTTTGTAAATTTGACCAGAATTACAGGTTTTGGCCAATTAGAGGTGATAGGATTTGGCAAGGTAAGGCTAAATTAGGTATCGCGGGAACAAAAAAAAAACAATACAGTCACCACTTTTATGCGAACATTCACTTAAGGGCAAAAGGAGCCTATTTTATACAATTTTACATGTGGGGAAAGTAAAAACAAGATTGAATTTTTTTCTATTCTAAGGTCTTATAGTCTGGGAATAATTTCTTCGTGGGTTCTTTGATGCATAGAATCGGGGTTTTGATCATGTTTTCAGGCCTCATGACGTCAAATTTGGCACAGCAGATTTTGGTGGTTGGAAAGATTGAAGATCAAGTAGCCTAGTGATATCATTATGGAATCACATCACATGATTAAGTGTTCGACCTATGTTAGGTTTAGTGTTAGGGTTAGTTAGGATAATTTGTTTAGTGCAAGTAAACAAATGACTTAATTGCATAATTTCATATGATGTGATTATCACTGGGGTACTTGTCCTTCAAGTGTCCCGGTGGTTTTGCTGCTGACACTATATAAGAAAAGATGAAAAATCATACAGTAAGATAAAAATAATAAATTGCACAGAATATTTATATGATTAGGGATCACTCAGAAACAATATATTGTCTATCAATAAATTGGAAAGTCTTTAATTTCTTTATCATCATTCTAGTGAATTGACTTATCCAAAAAATCTTCACCCGAGCCACCCGTCGGGTGAACAATGTGCCACCTGGGTGGAATGTGTTAACTCGGCTTAACTCATTTTATAAACTGTCAAAGTAATTTGGTAATCCACGAAGTAATTCGGAAGTTAGATGAGAGGTATGTTTAAACGTTTAAGTTTAGCTTGTTAGCATAATAAATTAATTAAACTCAGCAATTTAGGCTGTCTTTTGCTTGTGAAAACTTTTTCTTCGTAATAAAAAATCTTTCTATATAGGCTAATAATTTGAAGTTGAGTTATAAGGCTTATAAGTTTCGTGAAAAGGTTAAAATGGAGTATAGCAGTAGTATTGTAACTGTATAATGAAATCATTTTATAATAGAATAAGTATTAAAAGTGGGTTTGATTATTTTTATTAGAATGTGATTTGTTACCCGGGATTTCGTGGTGCTGGGTTCGGTTAGGGTCGGGTACATAAGTGGCGTGATTGGAATTTGTGTGATGCATGAATTTAATTTGTATATGTTGCATAATGCGTGTAACCGGGTAATTTAATACCCAGAAGATAATCTCTAATAAAAGAGTATCGATTCCTTTGGAATCGATAACAAGTTAGTTTGCTTAGTGAATACACATTCTTGGTGACAAACCGTTTCTCCTCTATAATGCATCGAGGTGGTATTGCCTGGTACGATAAACCAGCGCCAAGTGAGTGTTCTGTCTAAGTGAAACGAACCAAAGACCCCTATAACCGTGAGTCGCCACGAAAATAGTTTAGATATTTACTTGTATTTTTTTTATTTTACTTTATTTTTTATTTATCTTTTATTTACTTTATTTTTTATTTACTTATTTTTTTTTTTGATTCGTACGTAATACGTTAGCTTAATAAAATTTTGGTTTGTCAAAGTTTTGTTTTGACAAGATTATAGTTTTAGGTTTAAAGTTAATAAGATTTTATGATAAAGACGGTAAAGATTCAGCCAGTATTGAATTTAGTTACTTTCTTTATGCATATTAATTTTTTTATTCACGACGATTTAGTTAAAGTTTAAAATTTGATTAACCAATAAAATTTTACGATTTCACGAGATGATCTACCCGGGTCAAATCACTAATTTCTCGGGACGTTACATACACGTGTACAGTCAGACCTCTCTAAGTGCACGCCCTTGGGACCATACTTTAATAACATGCATATAGAGAATACAGTCAGACCTCTCTAAGTGCACGCCCTTGGGACCATACTTTAATAACATGTATATAGAGAATAATAAGAAAAAGTGCATTTATGGAGGTCAAGTATATATTTGAGCCGGCACTTAAGTGTGCATTTAGAGAGGGTATGCACTTAGGCGAGACCAACTGGATTCTGTGTTTTACATTACCCCCTCTCCCCTCCGGA